AGGATAGGGGTTCCCAGGCCCAGGGGGGCCCAGGGGAGCCAGAGAGGCTGCTAGGGACCCTGGAGCATGGGACCAGCTCACTGGCCCGGAGCTCCCAGTGAGGGTGGGAGCTCCGGGCCACAGCGAAGAGCCAGCTCAACCAGCGTCTCCCAGCGCAGCAGCCACTGCTTCCTTTTCCACCTCCTGGTGGAGGGCACAGCACTGAGGCGAGAGACCTGCCAGTCCCGACAAGGTGTGATGGTCAGGAAACAGGTGGCCACGGGGGCAGAGGAGGTACCTGGGTGTCTGCGGGGGTGTCCAGGAAGAGGAGAAAATGAGGCTGTGAACTGAAGTTCGCTGAAGACACTGCAGAGACAGCAAAGACCCCCCTCCCCCTCAGACCCTCCCCGACCATGGCTGTGTCCTCCCAGGAGCCCAGCATTCCCGACTATGCCGTCAAGGCTCAGAATGTGTCACTGCGCTCAGCGCACCTGTGGCCCCCGCCACACCTGAGAATGCAGATAACATCTGAGCCTGGGAGCTGGAAGCCACCCTCTGTGCGTGCTCGCTGTGGGGGGCCACTTCCTGTAGCTCCCATGTCCTTGGGACTTGGGACTCTGGGGTCCTGTGACCTCACAACTTCCTGTCCCCTGGGCCGCGCTGCCAAGACGGGCGTGTGGTCAGGCTGAGCTGCTTCCCTGCTTCCCTGATGGGTCTGCCTTTTTCTCAGTCCTGGGACAGCATGCAACACCTTCATTCGGCTCAGCCACAGGCCCAGCCCTTTTGGAGAGGCTGGATAAGCCACTGAGTTGCCCAGGCTGGGTCCCGACTTGAGACTCTCCTGCCTCAGCCTCCTGAGTGCTGAGATCCAAGGTGTGCGTGCAGGGCCAGGCCTTGGAGGCCTCATCTGACATGGACAAATGACTAACTGAGCAACTGCCCTGTGCCGGGCTGCAAAAGCTGAATCTCGCTGAATCCTCATAATTCAGTGGCTTTCTGAGGATCCCATTAGGCTGGGGGCATGGGACAGACACAGGAAGGGTGGAGTCCCAAGTCCCCTCAAGGGCAGCCAATAACCTACAGTGCCCCCACGTGCCTCATCCTCCCTCAGAGGCCAGGGCAGGAGGACCTCAGGCTCTATGCCACCTGGCATCTCAGGAAGACCCTATTTCAAATTAAAAACTAAGCAAAGCACTGGGGGTGGGGTGGGGCGCATGCCTGCAGTCCCAGCACCCAGGAGGATCACTGTCAAGGTCGAGACCAGCCTGGGCTGCAGAGTGAGCTCAAGGCCAGCCTGCACTGCAGAGGGAGACTCTCTCAAAAAGGCACATAAAATAAAATAAAAACCAAGTATATACAGAAATAAGATAAACATAATCAAAAGAGACTGTGTCCTTGGAGGTGCCCAGGGTACCCTACCTTGGCTCCTGGGGTCCCCAGGAGAGAACGCAGTCCCGACTGGGGGAGCCCCTTAGGGTCTGGGACTCACCTGCCCCTGCCCAGGATGGGCCCCTCCTGGTGAGGTCATGGGGACAGGGAGAGCACTGCCTCAGCCTCCCGTCTGTGCGGGGTGATAGCATGGCTGCTGCACACTGGCGTCCACGAGAACTCTGGTTTGCATCCCAGTGTGGCCCACTTGCTGTGTGGCCCAGGTGGGCACCTTGGTCTCTGCACTGCCGCCGCTGCCCCGCACACAAGGACGCACAGAAGGAGACAACATCAAGCTTTATTTGCTTTCTGGGGTGGCAGGTGAGGGGTCTCCTGAGCCCAGCTGCAGCAGTGCTGGGCAGCCCCCTCCGCCCAGGGGTCCCCCACTCAGGGGCTCCAGACCAGGTGCGGGGGGGGGGGCGGTCAGGTAGAGGCCATAAGGGGGCCTCTCTGGGGACAGGAATCAGTAGTCAGCAGCAGTAAGGGTTTTTGCTGATGAGAATTTTAGCAGGGGGGAAAAACCTGAGATGTTGGGGGGCAAGGAGAAGGGGGAGCTGGCTTCCTGGCCCAGAGCACAGGAGGAGAGCCCCAGGCAAGGCCAGCTCTGCGGGGAGGAAGACTTCCTCAGGATGAGGAAAAGATGTTTGTCATCCCAGCTAATGGGGAGGCCGAGGCAGGAGGATCTCCAGTGCCAGGCCAGCCTGGGTAACACAGCAAGATCCTGTCTCCAAACAAGATGTTTCACAAAGGCTGGGGTGGGGCTCGGAGGCAAGTGCATGTGGGCACGTGTTAGGCTCTGGGCCCTCCCCAGAGCCCCCAAACCGAGAATAAAAGGGATGTCCCCTTCCACCAGGCTGAGAGACAAAGCCCTGGCTGCTGTCCCCCTGGGGCTGCTGGCCACAGCCTGTGCTCCACACCCAGCAGGCTCAGGGCAGAGGCTGGGTACCCAGAGAACAGGGCTTTGTCTCTGGCCTGAGAGGGCACCTCTGGGTTCAGGCTGCAAGGGGAGGGGAGGTCAAAGGTCACTGGCCCTCACCTGGGGCACCGTGGGGGGCACCTGGAGGGCACACACCAGGGGCCCTGCTTCCAGGCACAGGCTACTTATGCACAAAGGCACCCCAAGGCAAGCAGGGTGGTGTGTGCCCGTCTCCCACCACTGGAGGCCGAGGCAAGAGACTCAAAGTCCAAGTGCCACCTGGGGACTCAGTGACTTGCTGGGACCCTGACTCAAAAAGAAAACCACAGGGGCTGGGGTGCAGCTGGGGCCAGGAGGCCCTGGTCCCAGGACCTGTGTCCTTGAGCCCTTGAGCCTGAGAAGGGCTGGCCTGGGTTGCTGTGATCTTCCTGTCTCCTGATCTGCACTCCTGGCCGGCTGGGCTGCCCCGTGTCGCTCAGCCAGGGCGCCAGCTCCATGCCTCCTGTCCTTCCTTGTTCCTCCTGGGCTCACTTTTTTCCTGAGAGTCCTCAGTGCGTGTACACACACAAACATACACACACGCACACGGCTGACCTCAGAGGCACAGGGCTGGCAGGGGACGCTGCCCGCCACTGCATGCTTTCTGCTTCTGGGCGCTGCATCTGCCACCAGCCTGGGTCATGTCCCCAGCCACCAAGGCCTTGCCCTCGCCATACCACATAGCTGCCCCCTGCTACGCCCACCAAACATGGGAGGGATGGCAGGGCATGCGCTCTGGCCTGATCCTCCCTTCCCACGCACAGACACCAAAGGCCAAGATGGGGGGACAGAGATGGACCCGGACAGAGAACGATAGGTTTGCCAAGTGGTAAAAAAACAAAAGAAGTTGGGCATGGTGGTGCGCAGCTGTACCCAGCACTCACTTAGAAGCTGAGGCAGGAGGATTTCTGTGAGTTTGAGACCAGCCTGGGCTACAAAGTGAGCTCAGGGCTAGCATGAACAGCACAGAGGGAACCTATCTCAAAAAGACAGAGACAGAGACAGAGACAGAGACAGAGAGAGAGACAGACAGACAGACAGAGACAGAGACACAGAGAGACAGAGATAGAGAGAGACAGAGGAGAGAAGAAACTGAAAAGCCACGGGTGCCCAGCACCATGCGTTTAGCAGATGCCCCATGGGATGGAAAGCGGCCAGAAGATAACCCGCACTTGCACGACAATGACCCGACAGCCTCGCAGGGCTCAGCAGCCCTGCACAGCAGAATGAGGGCAGGAGGGAGGTGGATGTGAGTGAGGACAGAGCCCCTCTCAGCCCCTCTGGGCCTTGAGGGGACCTGAGTCCCTGTGTTCAGTGAAGCCACAAGCTCCACGCAAAGCTAGCTGAGCAGAGACCGGGGCGCCTCCTGTGCTAGAGTCGGGGCTCAGAACGGGGACCCCGAGGGGCTGACGCAGGGGGGCCTTTGGCTCCATGCGGACAGCATGGCCCCCATGGCCGTCCTGCGGGTCCTGTCACACCACAGCCATGGGCCAGCTGCATCACCCATCCACACCCAGCAGACAAAGCTGGGCCAGCACACACACTGCCCAGGTGCCCATCTGCTGGAGCCCTGCCGCAGCAGCGGACGGAAGACAGGGACAGCCACCCTGAGGGCCTGGGGAAGAAGGGACAAGCACTTCCACCCCCAAGCTGAGCCCACTCCGGCACCCTCAAGGTGGTCGTGACCCCTCCTGGTCCCCAGCCCGTGTCAAGGCCGACCTGTATTGAGCTGTTCCGAGTGATATCACCCTACATCCCGTGCCGCTGAGTTCAAAGTCGCAAGAAGCAAAATAAACATTAACTCCCAGCTCTTGGGCGAGTGGCCAGGAGCTAGCCCCAGACATGTCAGGGCAGGCCAGCCGCACCGTCCTCCGTGTGGATGTATTTGGAAAAAGTCACAGGTGACAAGATCTGCTTTGCTGCAGGTCCTGGAGGCCCAGGACTGTGCCCCGCTCAGGTCTTGAAGGACCAAGTCGTCTGCGGCCACACCTGGGCGTCCCCACTCAGCAAGGGTGGCCTTGTTCCTGGTCCTGTACAAGCCTGTCAAGGCTGAGTGAGGTTCAGTCTGGGGAAGGAGGCAAAACAGGCCACACTCTAGGAGAAAGACACTTTGGCTAAAGCCAACATTTTAACCAAAGCGAATATAAATTACTGTGTCCCAAAAGTAGCACTATTACTTTGAGGGGGCCCGGGGTGGTGGGGAGAAGAAAGAAAAGCAAAAAGAGCCAGGTGTGTAGTGCAGGCATGTAGTCCCAGCACTGGGGAGGCTGAGGCAGGAGGATCGCTGTAAGTTTGAGGCCAGGCTGGGTTACATAGTGAGACCCTGTCTCAAAACAAAACAAAAAAAACTAAAAGAAGGGAAAACCAGCTGACCCAAAAGCTGGCCCCTCCAAGGCTGCCCCTCTTTGGAGACATGTTTTACCGGACCAGGTCTTAATGTGACTTTCACATCAGACCAGTGGGGACAGAGAAACTCTGGAAGTCCTCCACAAGCTTGGAAAAGTACAAGGCAGGTGGCCCGCCTGTGGCAGCCCCAGCACACAACTGTGTCCCCCGGTGCACTGGGAAACGGGAGACCCATCTTTGGCCGCTTCCTTCAAATCAGCCCGGGTGATGCTGAGGAAAAGAGGTGGGACGCCGGGTCCATAGCTGGAGGGCTCCGCGCCAGCGCGCGGCCTCAGTGTTCGTGGCAGCAGCTGATTTGGCCCTCTGACTGCTCCAGCACGCCCAGCATCTCCTCGATGATGGCCCGCAGCGCCCTGCCCAGCTGGTCCGCGTTGTAGGGCTTGCCCAGTGGGGGCACGTGCACGAAGGCTGATCGGCCGTGGCTCTGGTACAGGGAGGTGTAGTATGTGAAGTCACAGAGGTACCTAGGACAGGGTGGGGCGAGAGCACAGGAGGGACTCAGGACTCAGAGCGCCAGGGTTCGGACGTGACCGTTCCCAGGAGCCTGTGCTGCGCGCTGAGGCACGACGAAGAGGGAGGGCAGCCTTTAAGAGGCGGGGCCTAGGGGAGGCTGCGAGGTAGGGCGTGGCCTCGGAGCCTATATAAAGACTGCCCTGCTCCTCTGCCCTCAGGCGCCTTCTGGCTGCCCTGAGGCGAGCAGTGTTGCTCTGCTGCGAGGCTCCCTCTGGGATGCTTGGCCTTGCAGCAGGCCCAACAGCATGAGGGGAACAGACATGGACCAGGGCCTCAGAAACATGAGCCAAAGCCATCTTTCCTGCTTCATCTTCTTTTTTAAAAAACCAGGCTGGCCTTGAACTCAGGGAAGTCCTCCTGCCTCAGCCTCCTGACTACGAGAATGACAGGCACGACAGGCAAGCACTCCCACGCCCGCAAGAGCTGTTACAGTAACCCTGGCAACCCGGTGTGTGCCTGTAGTCTCAGCAACCCCGGGGGGGGGGGGGGGGGAGGCACTGCACTGCGGGGCTGAGGAGCACAAGTCTGAGGCCAGTCTCAAAACAAAAAAGACTGAGGGCCAGGGAGATGGCTCAGTAGAATAAGCACTTCCCTGGCAAGTGCAAGTGCCTGAGTTCAATCCCTGGTTCTGCCAAAACAAAACAAAACAAAACAAAAAACAAAAAAGACTGGGGTGTAGCTCAGTAGTGCACAACTTGTCCAGGAAGCATGAGGCCATGGTTGGATCCCCAGCACCAGCACCACGACACACACACACACACACACACACACACACACACACACACACAGTGGGTTGTGTAGAGAAGAAATGTCTGTGCTCACTAGCACTGTCTGCTGGCTGAACCTGCAGACGTGTAAACTTAAGTCATGGTTTTGATCTGCGGTGTCCTCCCAAAGCTCGCACTGGCTTGCACTGGACATGAGGGCCACCTGGCGTGCCGTCTGCCACCCCACAGATCTCCAGGGTTGCCGCAGCTGCTCTGGCTGGTGGGTGGGCATCCCCTCCTCCCTCACCACCCGACGCGTGTCCCTCCCGGAGCTGCGTGCTTGGGTGAAGAGGACGAAGGTGAGCGAGCACGCGCTCCCCTGCTCGGGGCTCCAGGCAAGCTCCCCAGGCCCAGAGCTCCTTGCTGAGGGCTAGACCCCGACTGGGCGGCTCAGAGGTGGCTCAGAAGGGCACCGTGAACCCCTTCTGGCATCTGTTACAGCCACAGTAACGAACGTGTAGAGGGCCCAATGAACTTGGCCGCCAGAGGCCACCGGAACGCACGGCTTGCCGGCAACACCACGTTGGCGGGTGAAGGGACAGCCCTGCTCACGCCCAGCCCGTGGGGCCCACCATGCCCCACCTGCCCGCGTCCTGTGAGATGGTCACCGACACGTCCAGCCCCAGGGTGGTGACCCTCCTGCAGACAGCGTCCATGTCGATGATGGAGTCGATGCTCTCCGGCCCGTCCTCCACACAGCACTGGGAGCCGGGGCAGAAGCGGCAGTTGTCCAGCCCCTTGTAGCCCTTGTTGTGCCCGCACTTCTCCAGCGTGACCGTGGTCGCCATGCCTGACACCCCGACATGCACCACCAGCTGCAGACCGATAGGGCAGGCTTAGCAGGGCCAGGCCCCCGCACCGGGGCGTCGCGGCCAACGACAGAGCGGCATGGGCACTGAGCTCTGCGGGCGCTGAGGCCTCAGACTGCTTCCTCCTGGAGCAGACCCTGCAGTCACTGCCGCAGGAGGGCTTACAAATCGGGCGAAGGGTGCAACAACCAGCCTTATTTGTGATTATAACAGAACACAGGCAGCTCAGCACTCATGCTCAGGGCTGGCTCAGGGTTGGCGGGGCGTCCATAAGGAAGCAAGCGGCTGTGCAGCTGCTAAGAGGTCCAAGGTGGTGTGCAGACGCCCATCACCCCGGCGCCCGGGAGGCTGAGGATGGAGCACCGCGTGAGTGCCAGCCAGTCTGGGCTACACAGCGAGTTCTCTGCCAGCCTGAGCTCAGAGCCAGACCCTGTCTCAAAAAGACAGGAAGGAAACAAAACAAAACACCCCAAGGTGGCATTAGAATGATCTTCAGGACATCCCCCGGGTGCTGGAAAATGTGGTGAACACTTAAATTTTTAAAGTTATTACAATAAAGACACATTGTCTTGAATCCCCCTAGCAGCCCTCCCTGTTGCCTCAACTATCTTTCTTTCTTTCAATGTATTTGGTTGTTAGGGGTCTCACTGCACAGCTCAGACTCGTAGTGATCCTCCTGTCTCAGCCTCCTCCTCGGTGCTGGGATTACAGACATGCGCCACTACGCCGGAACTCTGCGGCCGGCTCAGCGTGCCCTGGGGGAGGGGCTGGTGAGGCATGTGGTGCCGGGGATTGAAACTCAGTCCCCTCACTTGTCTTAGTCTACTGAGCTATCTTGTCAGGCCCTTGCTTCAACTATTTATCCAGTCCCTCTTGCCACTTTCTGAACCAGGTCTGTGAGTTGCCTTTTGTGCAAGTTTATTTATTTATTTTATTAGCGTGGCTCCACACATATTAGGTTTTTTTTTTTGGTTCCGGGGATTGAACTCAGAACCTTGCAATTGCCAGGCAAGCGCTTATTCTGCTGAGCTATTTCCCCAGCCCATTCTGTGAGTTTATGAGGCATGATCAAAAATGCAGTGAATGGGGCTGGGGACATAGCTCAGTGGAATAAGCGCTTCCCTGGCAAGCGCAAGGGCCTGAGTTCAATCCCCAGTTCTGCAAAAAAAAAAAAAAATATGGTGAATGATAGATACCACCACTTGCCATTCGTACAAACATGACACAGTCCGCATGCCCTCTGCGCACCAGCCTGGGCCAGGTGGCTCTGGCCCTTCCCCAGGACGACAACGACCATGGGTGTAAACCTGGGGATCACTCAGGACTTCGAGGCGGGCACCACCGTGCAGCTAAAGAAGCTCACGAGCGAGGACCCCAGCGCTGCTGCAGAAAGTGGCTGGGCTGATGGCACACGGGTGTGAGGTGCCGCCCCGGCGCCTGCGTGGCAATGTGTTTCATACTGTGCTGATTTTTGTTTTAAATGTCAACGTTCATCATTTTTTAGTCATACCCCCAGTGGCCCAGGGCAAAACCCTGGCACAACTTTCAGAGATTTAGCTGAAAATTTACTAAACATGTGAGAAAGACCATCACTTAGAGTTATTCATAAAAGTGTTCAAAATTAAGAAAAAAGCAATGAAAAGCACAGAAACAAAGATGGGCGCCCAGGCGAGGCAGAGAGCTCGGCAGTCTAAGTGCCTGCCCGGCAAGTGCAAGGACCGGATTCCTGGCACCACTTGCCTGCCGGCCCTCCCCCGGGCATGCTAAGCCAGCCATCGCAAGTGTGTGTGGTGGGATTGCCGTAACCCCAGTGCTAGGGAAGCTGAGGCAGGAAGATCACTGTGAGTCTGAGCTGGGCAGTGAGGCCCTGTAGCAAATAAATATACAAATAAAAGATTTTTTAAAATTAAAAAATATACATATAGGTGCCCCATAATTATTTTGATGCATTTAGTACAGGGTAGAGTCTCCAGGGTCTCACTGCACAGGTCAGACTCGCAGTGACCCTCCTGTTTTCAGCCGCCCAACCCTGGGATCACAGGCGCGCCACCACGGCCCGTCTCAGTCACTGTCTCAGTGCAAGCAGGGGGCGGGCATGGCGCACTGGGGGTCAAGCCCCGGCCGGCTGCCGAGCTGTGCCTAAACAGGCGCTTTTGCCCCATAATTAAATGGCTATGCTAATTATAAAAAATTACCTTAGCCTGAAAATGTATGTATGTATGTATGTATGTATGTATGTATGTATTTTGAGATAGGGCTTGCTGTGTAGCTCAGGCTGGCCTCACACTTATCCTCCTGCCTCTGCCTCCTCAGTGCTGGGTTGACAGGTGTACCTCATCATGCCTGGTTAAAAATAACGTTTTCAAATGTAATTTTAAAAGAAAATCAGGGCCGGGGAGATGGCTCAGTAGAATAAGCACTTGCCTGGCAAGCACAAGGGTCTGAGTTCAATCCCTGGTTCCGCAAAAATAAATAAATAAACACATAAATACATAAATAAATAAAATAAAATAAAAATAAAAGAAAATCTAATGACTTAGGTTATTAAATGCTTGCGATACAATATTTTTTAAAAGCTGGGCTCCAAAGTGAAGAGCTTAACTTCCTCTTGCCTTTTGCACACACTGTGACAACCACGTGGAGTTGCAGGAGTCAGGCTGGGCTGGGCTCCATGGTGGACCCTGTCTCCCAGTGCTGGGGAGGCTGAGGCAGGAGGATCCGCTCCGGCCACACAGTGCTGCAAGGCCAGCATGGGCTACAAACCGAGACCTTTGTTTCAAAAACAATTCAATTAAATTTAGATCAGGGGCTGGGCTGTGGCTAGGCAGAAAAGGAAAAAAAACCCAGGCCCAGCCCAGCGAGCCACCTGGCCAGGCAGTTTATACAATGATGCAATAGTCTGCTGACCTCCCTTGGAATGGATCCTGTCCTCATGCAACATGTGACTGGGACACACTTGAGTTTAACCCCAGGATTACGCTGAGGGAAAAACGCAGCCACAGACAGGCCCCTCTGAAAGGTCCGGTGCCTCAGCCGAGCGGAGGGAGCTGGCTCCCAAGAGCCAAGCCTGCGGGCCAGGGTGCACGTGTGGGGGCCCTGGGCTCCATCCTGGCATCAGGCTGGGGGGAAGCCTGGCGTGGCACCAAAGGGCTATAATCCCAGCACTCGGGAGGCTGAGGCAGTAAGATTACTTTGAGTTCAAGGCCAGCATGGACTACATAGTCAGTTGAAGACCAGCCTGACCTGCACAGCCAGACCCTGTCTCAAAAAACCAAAGAGAGAGAGAGAGAGAGAGAGAGAGAGAGAGAGAGAGAGAGAGAGAGAGGAAAAACAGCTGGGCAGTGCGATGCAGTCCTATAATCCCAGACTTGAGAGGCTGAGGCAGGAAGATCTCAGGGTGAAGCCTAGCCTAGGCAACTGAGTGACTTCACAAGACCCTATCTCAAAATCAAGTCAAAGGAGGGCCTGGGCCGGCTCACCTGCGGGCTGTGCTTCTCCCAGAGGGCTGGGATGAGCCTCTGCACCGTCTGGTACTCCACCGGGATCTCGTACACGTGTAGATCCACGCTGTCACCCAGGCCCAGCTTCTCCAGCTCCTGGGGAGGCAGAGGGGGTCACAGCACCAGCCAGCCCCTCCCCCGGAAGCCACCAGCATTGTCCCTGCAGCCTGCTGGGCGTGGCCCTGCCTGTGCGACCCTGGGAAGGACACTGAACCTCTCTGAGTCCCAGCTGCCTCGTCTGTAGAAAGGCCCAGGGATGCTCTGAGCTCCCAGGCACACAGGACGCGCTAAGGCCAGCACAGCGCTCCCACTGCCTCAGGCACCAAGTGCTGGCTGGGACGGCAGGTGGGCTTGGCCAGAAGCCTTTCTAGGTGCCAGGCATGGTGGCGCAAGCTTGTCCTCCCAGTACTCAGGAGGCTGAGGCATAAGGATCGCTGCGAGTTCGAGATCAGCCTGGGCTACAAAGTCCAGCCTGAACTTCATAATGAGACCCTGTCTCAAAAGGACCAAAAATGAAAATACAGAAAGAGATGGGCTGGGGGGGGGGGATAAAAAAAAAATAAAGAGATGGGGTGAGCATGCTCCAAGCCTTGGGTTCCATCCCCAGCAAAACAAAAGCCACATAAGTAGAGGCGGGACCTTCACGTTTATGGGGACACTTCTGGCAGGGGAGGCCATCCCAGTCGCGTGACTGCCGGCGCTGGCTTCGATTCCCCAGAGCGGAAGCCCCCAGAAGCCGAGGCCGGGCCCCGCCCACACTTCCTGCCTCCCACCCCGTGACCCCAGCCGGGCCTGGGGACTTTGCAGGCCCCAGAGGTGGCCTCCCCAGCCTGGGCCAGGGCCATGCAGCAAATAAGCTCGCTGCGCTGGGTGATAAACGACAGAAACTGGGCTAAGATAGCGATCCCTCAGCTCTTTTCTCTCTTACACACAGATCATGCGGGGCTTGGTGGCCCGCAACGGTCATCTCAGCACCCCACTGGCGAGGCTGAGGCAGGACGATCACCAAGAATCCGAGGCCAGCCTGGGCTGCCCAGATGAGTTCAAGGTCAGACAAAACTGCCTAGTGAGAATGTATTTCAAAACAAGACAAATCAAAAGACACACAACCCACAGGCAAAAACGAAAGAAAAAAATATGGACAGGGGTCAGGCACGGGGGTCCATGAGTGCAGTCCCTGGTACTCGGAGGCTGAGGCAGGAGGGTAGCCGGTGCCAGTGAGTTTAGGGCCCGTCAAAGCTGACCGAGTGGGGTCGCATCTTGAGGGGCCGAAAATGGGGCTGGGGGTGCGGCTGAGGGCTACAGCACCTGCTTGGCATGGGCGAGACCCTGGACTCCACCCTCCGCACCGCACAAAGAAGAACAAGATAAACTGGACTTTGGGGCTGGAGAGATGGCTCAGTGGTCTAAAGCACCTACTTGGAACAAGCTTGGCAAAGCACAGGGACCGCAGTTTGATCCCCCAGCACCACATGCCAGCCAGCCGCGCCCCCTGGTGGGCTGAGCTGACCACACACACACACACACACACACACACACACACACACCATAAATAAATGTTAAAAAAATTTAAAAAAAAAATTAAACTGGACTTTACCAAAACTGAAAAAACTGAGCCAGGTATTTCCGGGTGTGCCATAGCCAGATGGCGCCACCGTCTGGACAAAGAGGGAACTGGACTAGCTGTACCTGCTGGGAACCGAGTCAACCAGAAAGCAAAACCAAGAGCCCCAGGCTCTCCTAGGACAGTGACCCTGGGAGCTCCAAGTGTCTTGAGTCCCCGTGGCAGGGCCTGCTTCTTAAGCCCGGACAGAAACCTGTATTTAAGAAAAGCAGGAGCTGCGTGCGCTGGCGCACGCCTGTCATCCCTGCACTGGGGAAGCTGAGGCAGGAGGATCCCGGGCCAGCGCGGGGTGAAGGCCCTGGGCTGCATGCCCAGTACCAGAAGGAAGCCAGCCCCAGAGCCAAGCTGAATCAGTAACTCGCATCAGGATGACAGAGACAGCAGGCAGGACGCGGAGGCTCATGTCAGCCCCGGCAGCATCATGTCCAAGGCCCCCACAGGGAGGCATGCACCCCTCGGGCTGTGAAAGCTGGGATCCACTCGAGCGCCAGATCTCAAATCCTCCAGGACCTGCGCGACTCCGGTCTCCGCCTTTTCCTGAACCTGACGGGAAATCTGAAACCTCAACTCGGGCCTCGGCGGCACTGTCCACACGCCATCGGCGGCCGGCCGCACTTGGCAGGTCCCTCGCTCCCGCAGCAGCCGGGCCAGGAGGGAGGGCAGGGAGGCCCCGCGGCCGGCCGGCCAGCCCGCCAGAGGAGGGGAGGCCGGGCTCTGCCTCAGCCTTTGGTACTGGCAGGCGCACCGAGGCAGGAGAATCGCAAGTTTGAGCCCAGCAGGGGCAGCTTGGTGACTAGACTGTTTCAAACTAAAAATATAAAACAAGCGCTGGGGGTCAGCTCCGTGTGAAGGCCCTGGCTCCATCCGCAGCACTGGGGGAAAGAACGGTAAACTGGGAAGATCACTAGGGAAAGGAAGGCTAAGAGCCTCGAGCCCTGAGGCAGGCAGAACCAGCTCCATCAGACCCTTCTTCTTGCTGATTTGTTCAGGGTAAGGTAGAACTTTCAACCCTCCTGTGTCAGCCTCCGCAAGAGCAGACAATGGAACAGGAACGCACAGCAGTTCACCAAATGAACTGTGCCATGGAACGCAGAGGAAGATGGAGGGACCCTTCGGGTGACCGGGATTAAAGGCAAGGAACAGCAGAAGGCGGTATGGACCTGGCACCTTCCCTTGCTTGAAAGATACTTGAAGGACAATGAACAAGCCAAGGAGCAGCTGCAGGTCGCAGGACTGTGCCGATGTTCAAGCTCAGCAGCACAGCGCCCGCCTGGCAAAGGCAAGGTCAGATCAGCCACGCGTGCCAAATGGGACCCAGGAGTGCCCACCACAGAGCTGCCCAACCCGGCCCTGGGCACTTGGGAGGCTGAGGCGGGCCCAGCTCAAGGTCCAGGTCAGTCTGGGCAACTTTTCGTTTGTGTCTTGCTTCCTGAGGTGAGGTCTCCTGAATTCACTATGTAGCGCAGGCTGGCCTGCAGCCTCCTAGGTGCTAAGATGACAGGCACATGCCACCGCGCCTGGCTTGGCCTGGGCAATTCAGCCAGACCCTGTCTCAAAATAGAAAAGAAGAAGAGCTGCCGGAGCAGCCAGGCAGGTGACGCCTGTACCCTGAGCACTCGGGGAGGCTGAGGCAGGAGGACGGGGGTTGGAGACCAGGCGAGGCAACCTGGTGACTTAGTGAGCTCCTGTCTCAAAGGTAAATAATAAAACCGAAGCAAGGGGTTTCCGTGCCACCCAAGGGCCCTGGCTGCGATTCCCAACACCAAGAAAATCAAGATAAAATGAAATAACAAGGGCCGGGTCATGCAGCTCTGTGGCAGAGCACTCCTGGGTCCTATCCCTAGTATCAAAAGGAAAGAAAAAGGGGCCACCCCTCCCCTCGTGCAGAGCTCCCACTGGGACCCTGCCCCAGATGGGCCACCCCCAAGCACCCCTGGCTGTGGAGCAGGGCATGGGCACGGGCACGCAGAGGCAGCGACATGTCCAGCAGCCACCTCCATGGCCTTCAAGACCAGCAAGGCCCGGGCGGAGGCAGTTCTGCCCCACATTTCCAGGCCCAAGGCAGCAGCCTGTCCACCCGGCCATGCAGCACCAGGGGCTCCAAGAGCTGGTATTGGTACATAGTCACAAAGAAAGTGGTTTCATTTACTTATTTAAATTTTTGAGACAGGGTCTTGCTGTGTAGCTCAGGCTGGCCTCAAACTCTGGGTGATCCCCCTGCTTCAGCCTCATAGGAGCTGGGATGAATGAAGGCCTGCGCTACCACGCCCGGTTTCCTGTCCAGTTTTTAAAGGGCAGCCGGGTGGGGACAGCCTGAGGCCTACACAGAGCTGTGAGGAACATGGGTGTCACTTGGCTCCTGTTCAGCGTGGTTCTCTGCAGGACAGGCAGCTCGGGGAGGGGTGCCCACCCGTCCACCTGAGCACACCCGTGCCCCGCGCAGCTGACCGATTCCCTTGACCCCACGACAAAGGCCCTCTTTGTTTGCCCGTAATATCCTTAGCAGGTCTGTCTAGACGGGCTGTGCGGTAATTGTCCCGGATGTCACTGAGCTCTGTGACCCGCTCCCAAGGGACCACTGCAGACGGCTGAGCCCCGGGGCTCCCTGGCCTTGCACCCACCTGGGCCCAGCCACTCCCAGGATCCAGGCGACCGGACACATGGGGAGTGGGGTGCTGGGAAAAAGAGAAGGGGCCTCCGCCCTGCCACCCCATGATTCCCACACCCCATGTGGGTGCAAGTTCTCCCCAGGAAGCGTAAGCCTGAGGGGGCAAAGCAGGAGAGAGGCGGAGGGAGAAGGGGGAGGGACAGAAAAAACTGGAGGGAGAAAGCCGAGATGGTGGTGAACACTGTCACCCTAGCTACTAGGGAGGCTGAGGCAGGAGGGTGGCAAATTGGAGCAGAGCCACATAGCCTAGGGACTTATTGAGATTCTGCCTCAGATAAAAAATAAAAAGGGCTGGGTGACCCTCTGTGTGGGGTGACTCTCTGTGTGGGGGTCCTGAAGCATAGCTGAGCGTGGCGCTGGGGCATACAGGACACAGAGCAGGAGACGGGTACAATGGTGGAAGGTGGCAGGCCCCAGGGTGGAGGGTTCTGTACACACACGGCCTGGGCTTTGCAAACTGAGGCAGAGCAGAAAGTGTCCTCAGCTGGCGCCCTGGACGGGGGTGGCAGACATTCTGTGACTGCTTCTGAAGGACACTGAGCACTCCTGCACCCAGGTGTATTTTCTTGTGGGACAGATGTGGAGGCTGAGGCAGGAGGATCACTGGAGTTTGAGACCAGCCTGGGCCACATAGTGAGTCTGAGGTCAGCCTATGCTGCATAGGGAGACCCTGTGTTAAAAACCAGCACAAAACCCCCAAACGCCCTGGACTGTACAGACAAGAGCACATGGTACATATCTTTGGGCTTGAGGTGTTCTGTTTTCAGAAGGGGCTGTGCGGATCCGAGGAGCTGAGCATCACCCATCTCGTCACCTGAGACGGCCCGGACTCCTCCTCAAGTGCCACCAACTTCAGGAAAGGGAGACCTGCGGCTGGTGCTGGGGCGAGGGAGCAGGAAAAGCCGCCAGCCTCCTCCGCCAGCCACAACCCGAAAGAGGCAGAGGATTTCCAAAGATTGTTTAATTGATTTTTCTCCTATTTACATGCAGATGCAGCGTCTGGGGCCCAGGAATTCAGACGCTCTGCTTTGTGTTCCTGAGCCCCGTGAAGGCTCCTGTCTGCACCACGACAAAGCCCGACACAGGAGTCTGCAGAGACATGCTGTCTCTTTTTGTCTGCGGCTCGGGCTGGCCGGGGACACGGTCCCATCTGCGGGTCCCCACCAGGCCCTCCGCGCTGCGCCCCACTGAAGGGGCTGGAAAAAACCAGAGGTGGGGCACTGAGGCGGGGTGGGGGATGGGGTGGCGGGGTGGGAGGGTCAGATAATGGGGTTCTGGCTTGGGTCTTCCAGCAAAGGCAGGAGGCTGGGCGGGGAAGCGGGGGCCACTTTAAATCAGCCAGCCAATGGGCCAGACTAATAGTGTTTGACTGCAGCCACTGCCAAGCCAAGTTTTATAAAAGGAGAAACATTTCTGTCTCTCTGTTCATTGTTCCACAGTCTCCCCCCACCAACCCACCCTATGTCCATCTGGTAAGAAACTGCAAAGATCCCACAGACTGGGGACACCCAGAAAGCCACCCTCCCCCTGCCATTAGTATGCAGGGGTGGCTGGGAGGTGACTGCGAGGGTCACTGTGCTCCCTCCTACCAGGTGAAGTGTCCACTCTGAGAAGAACCTGTTACTGGCGAGGGTGCTGACGGATGCCTGTCATCCCAGCATTCTGGAGGCTGAGGCAGGAGGACTGCCCCAAGTTCAAGTCCAGCCTGGGCTACATAGTGAGACCTTGTTTCAGTCTCCCTCCTCTAAGAAAGAATAACCTGTAACCACCACGCAAGAATGGCTGGTGAATTCTGGAAGGCCAGCATCCCCCCACCCCAAACTCAACAAAGATGCTCGGTGCCGGCTACAGTCCACTGTGTGCATAGCCCGTAGTGTTGCAAGGCAGACTTTCTTGGGTGCCAGATATGTGCAGCGGGAACCTGCTTCAGGCCGACACCCCCAAGCCTGAGTTACCTGGACTGCGATCCAGCTGGCATTCACGGTGTGCTCCCCAAAAGGGCCGAACCCTGCAAACACAGCAAAGTAACGTGTCACCCACTGAGTGGCCCTGCCCACACTGCCCCTGGCCAGGTGCTGTCCCCAGCTGGAGAAGCAGGCAAGGAGCTCCAGGGTTGGTTGGCACCGTCAACAGCACTGGGCGGTGGTTCTGAATCTAGGCACCCCCAGATGCTTCCAAAATAGACCGTGAGCCCTGCCTTGCCCTCCAGGTGGCAGCCTGTTTTGCCTACTCCCCAAGCTGGCTTCTTCCTTTGTCAATTTCTTTTTTTGTTTGGTTTTTTTTGGGTTCTAAGACAAGGTCTCACTATGCAGTCCAGGCCGCCCTCAGACTCAGCCTGGAGCTCATGCTACTTTGCCGCCTCAGCCTCTGGGTGCTGGGTGACAGTGTGTACACCATAGCTAGCCTCTTCGTTCCTCAATTGCTTATGCTCACCTTATACAACTTCTGATTTCTTTTTCTTTTTCTTTCTTTCTTTCTTTCTTTCTTTCTTTCTTTCTTTCTTTTCTTTTTCTTTTTTTTTTAGATACTGGGGATAGAATGCTGGGCTCTTGCACTGTGCTACATTCCAGGTCCTTTTTATTTTTTATTTTGAGCCAGGGTCTAAGACACCAA